TCACTATCTATCCAATGACAAGTAACACCCATATAAGACAAATTATGATAAGTTTCACTCCAAATATCAGAACAAATAGCAACACGAGAATTAAAATTAAGAAAAAAATTTGCCAAATTTATTTTTCCATTTTTATACTGACGAATAATTTCTCGTTTAATTGTTTTTCTTGAAAAACCTCGTGCTTGAGGGTTTAATGTCTGTTGACAATAATCAATAAAACCAAGTTTTTCTCAGAAAACATGTATGGCAAATTTTCTTCACAAATCATTTCGGCCATTTTTTGCTTATTTTGCTCGTCGCTATAAGCAAAAAGGCCGCCCTTACCTCTGTTAGCAAACCGAGAAATTTGGATTTGCACTTCTTGTCGTCCCTTCTTTTTTGCCTCGTATTTGGCAAACTCCACGGGATGCCTCGACCTTAGGTGTTTTTCCGGACCGCCATAACCGCCGGAGACTCCCATTTTTATGACGGTCCCACAATGTTTACAAGTTCCATAAACTACGCCATTTTTTGTTTCTTTGTCAAAATGATAAACAAATAACTCTGATTTATATTTTTTTTACCTTTATCCGGACCTCGAGAGGTCGCGGGCTCACCTGCCTCCACGTCGACGTCGTTGCTCTGCGATGTAGGCTCATCGTCCCCGTCCAGATTATCCAGATTTGCTTCATCAATATCTTCGAATACACTATCAAGAGTGGGGAGATTTGCGTCCCCTCTACCGGAATAAATCTGGTCGAATTCTTCATCCGTCATAGCGTCCCCGATTAAGTGATCGGGGATAGTAGGAAAGGAAGAGACGGAGTGTCTTCCTCGAGAAACGCGTGAGGTCAAACCGTCAGAGGTGACTTTTGCTTTGCCTCTACTCGAACTTCGGTTCACGGCGCCCATATCCACGGACCTTCTACCGGACTCTCTCGACATTTTAATATATATATATATATATTTTGATATAAAAAAATAATATATTAAATTTCGAAACTTTAAAAAAAATTCGAAATTTTATATATAAAAATTTCGAAAATTTCAAAAAAAAAAATAGAGAATATATTTAAAATATATATTATATATTTTTTGATAT